TTTACACATGGCATGTTTCTTGAATTAATGTAATTGATAAAAAATGAAAACACTAATAATGTTTACCCAGATTTTTATGAAATGACATTTTATGAATGGTCAATATTAACATTCATATTTTCATTAAACACCGCTCATATGAATCACACAGTTCCTGCCTTTTTTAAAACAGCTTTTTTAGTAATAAATTGTACTGTTTTTGTTTTGTTCTGTTTTTTTTGAGCTTGTTTGAACTTTTTTGGCCCCTCCCCTCGAATGTGTTGCAGTGAAGTGCAGTTCCTTTTGGATGACTACGGCATCTTGCATGAGGTGCTTGACTGATTTTTTTGTGAAATCAAATCTAGTTTCTCTGCTTTTTTTTCAATTTTGGAGACCAACCCTTTTTTCCCCAGTCCCAGATTTTTTTTGATTTTGGAGCTGAACTGCTATTTATGCTTTGCCTGAGGCTAATCTGGATTGCATGGCTTCTGGAAACTCATGCATTTTAATCCACAGATTGTCGCTGGCAAACACTTAAATTACATTGGATCTTTTCTAGCATAATCTAGCCGATTGTATACAGAATGAGAAACATTTGTGGATGCATTCTGTTTGCCGATAGGCCTCAAATACAATATAATATGACTTTTTTCCCCCTAGGTTTTTAAGTTCGGTTTCTTTTACTCAGGTCTATTTTGTTTTTATGAACTGTTTTTAATGCATTTTTCCAGTTTTTGCACTTGCTGTACTCAACAAACTGTAAACCTCTCTCTTGGGAAGTATCATTACATCGTTAAAATGTAGTTGTCAGTGGCAAGTTTATCACAAGGAAGTTGTTTCTTTGCGCTCCTGCAAAACATCTAAAGTTCTTCACTGACACACGATTTTTTTGCCTTTCTTCTTAGAAATATTTCTCCCAAAAATGAATGTTCTGTCATCATTTACTCACCCCTATAGTGTTATAATCCTGTCTGACTTTCTTTTGTGGAAGTTATGTAGCAAAAATAAGCTTACAGGGACTGTAAAACTGCATAATTGTCAAAAAAAGCACCATAAAAGTGGTCCAAATGACTCTTGATGCGTGCGTGCGTGCTGGTTTATATATCCTGGTGGGGACTTAAACCTGACTACACACAGACTCATGGGGACTCGTTTCATGGTGGGGGCCTAAATTGTGGTTCCCACGGGTACAAAAGCTTATAAATCATACAGAATTAAGTTTTTTGAAAATCTAAAAATGCAGAAAGTTTACTGTGAGGGGCAGGGTTGGTGTAGGGCAATAGAGTATACGGTCTGTACAGTATAAAAACCATTACGCCTATGGAGAGTCCCCACAAGGATAGCTGACCAGAGTGTGTGTGTGTGTGTGTGGATCTACGGTTCCTTTTCTACTGAAATGGTGCTGGTTCTGGTGACATGGAATCTGCAAACTTGGAAACGGGGACTCATTATCACTAATTTTAGAACCAAATGATGCCGCAACTTTGCTAGGGCTGGCTGATGTAATTGTAATAATTTTGATGTGTGTGTGTGTGTGTGTGTACACTACCAGTCAAAAGTTTTTGAACAGTAAGATTTTTTATGTTTTTTTAAAGGAGTCTCTTCTGCTCACCAAGCCTGCACTTATTTGATCCAAAGTACAGCAAAAACAGTAAAACTGTGAAATATTTTTACTATTTAAAATGTAATTTATTCCTGTGATTTCAAAGATTTGTTTAGTATGTATGCATATGTATATGTATGTATGCGTGTATACTGCATATATATATATGTGTGTGTTTGTGTATTTTTTTATTATTCTTTTATATATGATTTTAGATATTTATGTTTTATATATTTAAAGCGATTATAATTTTTTTAAATTTTGCTATTGCAATAATACAAAAAGTGACATGCGAATATGAAAGCATTAAAACTGAATTTATTCAGATTCAGAGCTCTGACTCAGCTATTGGTTAATGTTAACGCATGGGATTTTTCATGTATTAAAGCTTAAAATTATATTTAACTATACATATGCATGTAAATGAACATTTATCAAACAAGTATCAAATGTAAAAATACATGTATAATTGGTGTATATAAATGAACATCAAATGTAGGTTTAAATCTGTATAGTATATATAATTAAATTATAATTGTAGTTGTGTTAGGATATATTCATGTTTTATATTTTTTATAATGTTTATATATTTATATTTATATGTTTTAATTTGCTAAATTGTTTGCAACTATGTATTGATTTATGGGTGCATATTAAATGGAAATGGAAATCTAAAAAAATAGTTACATAGAAAGTATTACTAAATTGTTTCAAATATTTATTTTCCCTATTCGTTGCAAGTCAAATTGAGTAATTAGTGTAAAACTGAAAAAAGAAAAAAAAAAATCATTTTGAGGCTGTTTGTCTTAAACAAAAAATATTAAAAAAAAATCACCATTTTAAGTCATTTCAGAGCAAATATAAACTTTAAAGAAGATTGAAAAATATTGAGAGAATGCTATTATTGGTTTTAGTCCAGGAGCCATTCCCTATCCCAGGTTCCAGATCAGGCACCATCACCATTTCGGTGAAAAAGAAGGTTGTTGAATAGGAAGTGCTGTTCAAAGGAAGGAAAGAAAGATGCAGCAATTAACAAACATCAGCATCCAAAGCCACGCCAATAACACAGCACTCATCCTTGTCCGTTAATCTAACCTGTCCCTCTCCTGTTCTCTCTTCCAGACGCTACCAGACTTAAAAGCAGACAACCAGAGACTAAAGGACGAGAATGGAGCGCTGATCCGAGTCATAAGCAAGCTTTCCAAATAGAACAGAGCCTCCCCACGACCTCCGGCAGTAACGGTATTGCACATCTAGATATGAATACGAGACAACAGCGACAAGAAGGCTCCGTTTCTCAGTCCCCAGCTTTCCCTCGCTTCTCCGCTCCATCACCTCACCACTCACACAGAACCACTGCGTTTACAGAACTAAGGAAAAGCGTCAGACGAGAGAATGGCATTGAACACTTTGCGGGCGGGGAAAGCCTCGAAAAACTATTTAACCAATAAGCCTTAGTTGTACATACGTCACTTGCATCAAATTTCTCTTGGCTGTCACAGAACACCTGATTTTATTTGTGCCACACTTTATTATTTTTTTGCAGTTTTTTTTTTTTTTTGGTTTTTTTGCTCCGCTCTTTAATCTTTCTTCCTGTATAGATGTGTTATGCAATGTGCAGCTCTCTCCTTCCATTTCCTTCCACCCCCGTCCCGAATGGCGCCAAAAGTCCCGCCTCGTCCTCGGAGGCACTGTCTCTCAGCAGAAGACTTCCCAGCATTCCACAGTGCTGGCGCACGCTCCGCACACTTCCTCCTCTCTCTCACGGACCCCTGGCTTTACCGATTAGGTGGACCTCGTGGAATCGAAGCTTTCACTTATGTGCAATATATGCGTTTCTTTCTCTACAAACGCTTTAAGAACGTTCACTCTTGCACCACTTTCGTGGCTCACCCCGGTTTCCTTCCTCTCCCCCGACTTTCTTTGAGTTTGTAGTGTAGTCGTTGGTTTATATCTTGTACTCCTCACATTGTTTTAGCAGGTACTGAGTGAAGTTGTATATACCTGTATGTATCGTTTGAGACCAGCACATGGCATGCGTTTATGGTTCCCTGTCTGTTACTATTGAAATATACCAACTCCAGAGGACAAAGTGTGTTTTTAACTATTTCCTTCTTCTTTTATAGTCGAAAATGTCATTGGATAACAATAGAGCCGCCCTCTTCAGTGCATTTCTTTCTCTTCTTCTCAGTTTTAAGTGTTCACGGTAATTGTGAGATAATAATATAATTGCTTCACTACATTTCACACATTTTATTCAGTATCTTTGGAAGAGTGCTGTTCATCTTTTTTGTCCTTTTCCCGTTTTTTTTTTTTTTTAAGCTGTAGTATTAGCTAAGGTGTTGTCACTAAAAAGAAGATCCTAGATATCGCTAACCCAGTCCTTTTTACAATGTCTACATGCACTGTCAATGCCATGTCAGGAGTCTTGCTGTCCGGTTTAGCGAACTTTTGCCACCGCGTCAGATGAAGTCCATGCATCGGAAACACGTTTTATGCATTTCAGTGGCCTTTTACGTTAAAATACTGTAGTTGGAAAAAAATGTCGCTGTAGTTGGACTGTCAGCTGTCTCTTTGGTTTAGGTTTTTAATATTTTTTTGTTTTTGCTTTTTAAATTTCCCATCATCTTGTAAAATAGATGTGTGGCTTCATCCGTGCAAGCTGTGCTGTGACTACCAACCACTGAGAGTTAATTAAAATAAACTTGTACATTGTAAAAATGTCTCTGCTTTTGTGTCATTTTTCGTTCTTTGACGAATCGAGCACTTTTAGATGTGAGAACCAGTCGAATGTTGTCAGATTATCGTGCTGTTAAATGTAATAAACTCAGACCCAGTGTCCATTCTAATAAAATAAACTACTTTTCAATGAGTGGCGAAGGATTGAAAAGGGAATATTGGATTGGATGCTTCTAAATTATTTTGTTAGTGCCATATCTCACATTGCTGCTTAAAAAATAAAATAAGTAAATAACAATAATGAATAAACTAAATAATTGTAGATTTTAGGAATAATCTTTGAATATAGTCCAGTTTTTACTAAAAACTTTAGACCAAAAAAACAAATGTTATATAATATTGGTGTTTCCCCAATGAATGATGATTTTACCAGAAATGTTTTTCATGATGGTGAAAAAATAGTATATTAACTAACTATAATAATAATATAGTAACTATTAATTTAAACAAGACTTAGAAGACAAGAATATAAGATCCATTATTAGGTCAATAAAAAAAAAAACAAGAACTTGGGGGGGGGAAAAATGTTATACTAAAAATGTTTGTGTGTGTTTATATAAAGCAATAAGCCCCAAGAAGCCGTGGTTTACGACGCGAAGCGGAGTGCCTAAAACCCCCTTAGCTGTTATAAATTCACTGTAAACCACGGCTTCACGGGGCTTATTGCTTTTATAAAACGGTTATTCCATGTACGTAGTAAGGTTTCACAGAATAAAACGGAGCAAATGAAATGTAATGATATAAATAAAAACAGTATTCTTCCACCAAACAATGTAGTTCCTCAGAAACAGTTGTGGTTCCAACAAAGTGGTTGCCGTGTATGTTTGTAGAGTAATTTACAACAGCTTCGAGCGCAGCTCAACCAATCAGAATCAAGGACCGGAACTATCCGTTTTATAAATATAGTTTTAGTACGATTATTCAATCAAACGTAATGGCTCATGGATCTTAAACCTTAAACCTGTTTCTTTTCATTATAAACTTTATTTTTCCACTTGTTGAATACTAGTTCTGGTTCAAGTCTGTTTGCAGGAGAGATGTATTTTTTTAATTTTTTATATAGCTTCAGCACCACTAGATGGCGCCTGTCTGATCTCAGCACAGCTGCTCCAGATGCCCTGCTCCATTCAACCCTCAACCTGGCATGCTTTTCTTAACTGGAAATGCAGGAAAAGTGTTGCTTGATGAGTGTCGTGAGGTCTTTTTGTTTATTTCCCCCCCCCTAATCTTACATAAGGCTTGCATTTCTCTATGTGAACCCTCCGAGAATGTTTTGCTTGCTTCTTCTGGGGTTTGAAGTTACCCAACGTTCTCATCCAAAGGCATTTGTCCACAGATAAAGCAGATTAAACATCTCAAATTAAAGGGATAGTTCACCCAAAAACGACCTATATGTCATCAATTAAAAATCACAGCACTTTTTTTGCATGAAGCTATATGAGGGTGTTTAAATGGCGACCGTTTTCATTTGTGTTTGAATTGTCACTTTAATTGTCTTTTAGCAGTTTCTCACAGAACCACAATAGAGGTCATTTCCAGACTCCTTGTAGGACTGCATTGATAAATGTGCTTGGCTCTCATTGTGGCATGAAGAGCTCAAATAATGCAATAATGCTTTGAGGATAAGAGCCTGTATGGGTAGTAATTGCACATAGTCATGCAATGGGACTTTTGTCTTTTTTTTTTGGTACTTTTCCATTTAGAAGTCTGCTAGAGACCCCTTCATTCTTCTGATTCTACCTCAAAGCTCACTGTTCTAATGGGATTCTTGACAAAAACGAATGTGGCAAAGATCAGTTGGAGTGTTTCCCGGTTTAAAAGCAGGAACAATACAAGAGTCCAAAGCAATTATAGAAACAAATAGATTCCGTTTAGGGTCAAATAGATTTTTTTGGTGATTTGCACCAGCGGGCCAACCTGGATCAGTTGCAGCAGTGTATGCGTCATGTCACATTTCATGCTTACACTTGAGTTATGCGATTAAACTATTCATATACCGGTGGGCTGCAGCTGAATATCTGGCGCAGACCCAGAGATCGGCCTCCAGAGTCGAGGCTCATCTCTTGTTCTCCTGGCTCCATGGCACGCTGTCAATTACCATAGAAAATAATTTTGTCTGGTCCCTCAGTTTGTAAAAACAAACACAATCGTGTCTACAGTAATGCGCTTACAATGGAGGTCTATGGGGCAAGACACCCAACAGTACACACACAAAATGCAAATTATGCTTGTGTCAATTAATGACTGTACAATGTTATTTCCAATTTTAAACTCCTGTCATGACCATACAATGTCGTTTAACCTTTTAAATTGTAAGGATACCAAAAAAAAGAACTCTTTACAGAGAAAATCCACCCAGAACCAGGTAATAACCAAAGTTCAGCTGCCTAAAAACTATTTAGACAATTTCACAGCTTGAAATAACAGTTTTTGTTCAGAAGTATTAATATCTGTGCTTGGACATAGTTTCGAGTCTATGTTTTTTTTCCCCCTTAGACTTACATTGTAAAAGCTTTTCTGTCAAAATAATTTTCTGTGGTAATCGACAACATGAATGAACATTCCTTTAAAGCAATATTCCAGGGTAAATACTAGTTCAACTCAGTCGACAACACGTGGCATGTTGATTACCACAAAAATAATTCCGACTCGTCCCTCCTTAAAAAAGTTGGGCAGTTACAAAAGAAGTAAATGGGGCCAGTCTATAAACATTAAAATACTCACTGTTTCAATAGTATAGCCGCAAGATATAAACAGTATGTGTGTTAATATGATCTTGGTGTCAAACATTTACTGTGAAAAGTTATATCTAATTTTATAGCTTTTGCCATGATAAATAAATGACGAGAACAACTTTACAGTACAAAATAATTCACAATTTTTACAAATAAGAATTAATGAAAGAGCTTTAAATAAATATAATTTCACATTTGTAAATCCTCCAGAATTCGCCCCATTGAAAGTGCCTCACTGTAACCATAATTTTTGTATTTACTACCCATTTTCACTTTTTTTTT